TCAGTTTGAAAAACAATATTAGCATCAAATGGCAAGAACACAAATTTATGATGAGATGATGTCGTTTTACCTGATATTAAGAGAGTACAATATCTACGCAAAAAAATGACCCAAAAGGTCAAGAACATTAATACATTGTTTAAAGGAATAGATATAGCAAAATCGGGTTAATTACATATAGTGACGATGCTATTATAATAAACTTTATACCAATGGTAAGTTTCTAGAACCTGTTTGATTTCGTCATAATGTACTGTATTTTGTGGTCACATTATTAATTAGTAACATAGTTAACCGGTTTTCTGATCTTGCAGCGACTTGGTACAGCATCACGAGAGTTTTTCTTGCCTAAAATCGCACAAAAAGTACCATATGATAATGAACCCCATATAAAATTATATTTTCGAGCAACATTTTTACAACGACGAAAAAATATAGAAATGGTTAAAGTCATAAAAGGCAATATTTTCTGAAGCGTTGAATCGATGTATCTATGAAAAGAAATTACGGATATTCAATCACAACCCTAATTCGATTAAAGATAAGTAAAATGAGTTTAAGGATTATATTTTTTTGCAAGACTTTTATTTATTGTTACGTAATAATTTATTATTTTTGATTTCGCAGAAGAGTGATTAGCAGAAATAAATGTATCTTATTTCTCTAATAGGTTATGCATTATCGTGATAGCCTTGTTATCGCCGAGCTTCGATCACAAGATTTCAAACCACATGAAATAAATTTAACAAATGAAAGAATATTATTCCAAAATTGGACGTTTGTTCTATAGAATTTCTTATATAAATGTGTCGTGAACGTACGATGAATAATAAGGAATAACGAAAGTGAACTATCTGAGAAATTAATATCGAAACATACAATCTTATATTTTTAATAATGAAACTCAATATTTTTCTCACTCTTAGCATTTTCGCAATTTTCTGCCTAGTTACTAATGTATATGAAGGTAATTAATTGTTTTTTTTAAAAAAAAAAAAGTTCCAATATCTACCATTCCTATTTTGTTTTAATTTACATTATGTATAGTAAATGCATCAACGATCAAACTCAAATCTACTTTCTCGGCGGTTTCGGATGGTGGAAGAGCAGATATATATGATTGTGACAGTAATAATGAACCATGGTCAAATAACAATCTACATTTTTATAGCAATCAATCCGAATGTTTAGTGTTTAGCGCTTCAGTGTCACTTTCTACATATTGTTTTCATCTTCGTGTTTATAAAGATGATACATGGGTAGATAATGTTGACAATAGTCAAGACACATGTTACGAAATTGATGGAACCAACACTAACTGGTCATTAAGCTCAATCGATTGTGGACAAATTCCTTCAGACTTAGTAATTTGTGATGGATAATCGTTTTTTAGCTATCTTTTTTTTTTTTAGAAACTATTTATTCAACAAATGTCAATTTTAATTTAATTCAAATAACGATAGTTTATATTTCAAACATTTATAATTCTTAATCCTTTGTTATTATCCATTTTAAGTATACATGGGGATTTTAAATTATTATATAAAAAATACAACAACTAAAAAAAGATAATTGATAACTAAATAACAAAATGACTAATATTTATTATGCTACGCTACAGATAAATTTATTGTTGGAGGACAAACAGATAAAAATAATTAATGATATAAATTTTTTTATTTAGATATATAAATTCTTAATTTATTATTCTTAACATATATTTATTGATGCTAAATATTTATGCTTTTGGAAAAAAAAAATCAACAAATATATATAATTATAATTGATATTTTGAAAGTTGTTTTTTTTTTCAAGAAAAAAAAAAAGAAATACCAAACTTTGCATTAAATTAATATCAAAAACTTGATAAAAAATAATAATCAGAAATTAGATAAATAAGAAACAAGTTGTATTATTCAAAATCCAACAGTTATTTTCAAAATCAACCCAAATTTTCAAGAAATTAATATAAAAGCACAATATAACGTTATTATAAAAACAAATCAGACTATAGGTCTGAATATAAAAAAAAAATGATTTTAGAATGTTCTAATTAAAAAAGATACTAATCAAATTTAGTTCAAAAAATTTTAGCTCAAAATATAAAGAAATATAGAATTATAAGAAATTAAATTTCAAAAATCAAATAATTTTAAAAATACAAATATTCTTAATTATTTGTATAATTATATAATTTCCAATTACCAAAATATAAATTTATATTATTACAAAGCAATAAATCAATAATTAGTTTTATTTAAAAAAATATAAATATTTTCAAAATCAAAAAAAAATTTCTACAATATAATATAATATTATAATATAATTGTTAAAATAACAAAAAATCTATAATAAATTTTTTAAAAAAACAAGTTACTTGACAAATTTTTTTCTTATAACAATTATTTTAGCAGACTTATTATAATTTTCAATTATCAAAGTTCTTAAAAGAACAAATAAAAAATTTTTATTAAAAAAAAATCAAAAGTAATAATATAAAAGTTTAGAAAACTTTAAATTGTTTTTATTTTTTCTAATAAAATTAATTGCATATTATAATCAATTGACATTGTTATTAAATGTTTTAAAAAATTTTAAATCTAAAACCTTTTATTTTAAATTAAGTTTAAAATTAAAAATATAAATTAATAAAAACAATATATCAAATAATATTTTTAATATGAAATTGTTGCTAAATTTTCTTTTTCAAAATTGATAAGATTTTTGGAGGAATCTTTTCAAATAAAAATTAAAAAATTCTTATTAATCTTTGCCTCAAATCCGAATAAATTTAAACTTATTTAATTAGAAATTACTATATATTAAGAATTTTTTTTAACATTCTACTTGATATCAATAACCAATTAATTTATTAAAAATATTTGACAATTATTCTTTCATTAAAAAAATACTGTAATATAGTTTCATAAGTTTACAGATATTCAACCTATATTTCCAATTAAAATCAACCGAAAATTTTTTATAAAAATAATTATCAATATATTACCAAATACGTATGATTTGTTTTAATAACCTTTTCTTGAAATCTTTTTTATTAGTTTAAAAATTCAAAAAATTTGATGATCGCACAGAGGATGAGGAGATCTTCTATTTATACTCTGAATAAGGTACGTGACGTTGATTAATTTCATTTTGGAGCGTTGTGATTATAATCCTCTGATTTTTTCGAATTTATTGGCAATTGGTTAAGATTATTATGGTAAGGTTTCTAGAACCTATTTAAATTCGGTAACGACATTCTACCATAATTAACGTCATGGGAATTCGGATCGATTCTGATCTTTCCAATTTCTTCAGCGACAGTGTTGATCTTTCTATTACGAGTTTGTTAGTGATGAATCATACACAACAAGTGTATATTTTCGGGGAACATCTTCGCAAAGACGAAAAAACATTTAGAGACGATTAAAGCATAAAAGAAAGGTTTCAGGAACGTTAAATGGATGCATCTATTCAAAGAAATTATTTGTATGGGACATACAGATATTTCATCACAAGCGAAGATACCTTAATTCGATTAAATATAAGTAAAATACGTTTGATGAGTTTATTTTTGATTTCGAAAAAGAGTGAATAGCAAAAAAAATCATCTTTTATGGATCAATGGATCAATGATCAATTATTTCATGTAAAGACTAGAACTTATACGTTATATTTTTATTACTAGGAAATCAAAAACCGTTGTATGCATAAATATACAGTACACAATTTATTTACCCTAACACATCCATTTTATTAATTACATGCTTTATTAAGTTAAACACGTTAGGTTATTTCACGTATTACGTAATGACCGGCACAAGATGTAAATGATCATCTTGTCCGAACCGTATAGGCCGGACAACAAGAAAATATTCAATTCATATAGAAACTTTTTAATAAAATTTATTCTTTCTATGAACGTATACAATATATGGTTAACTAATACTGTTGGGGTCTTATCGCGGCGACACGGAGCTCAGCGTTTTAGATCTTGCGTAACATCTGACGGGGGTAAAGGTGAGTATTGCGAGGGTTAGGTAAGGTAGAAGGGGCGTGGACTGGTGAGTTTATGGGGTTTGGGACAATTACTTGGAAGGTAGGTGTTTTGCAATATCTTTATTTGAGAGTCCAAAAAAAACCTTGTTGCATACACGCGCGATCGTTATATGCTTATAAATCGCAATATACAATACTCATTTTGCCCCATACAGTAAATCACTTACTATCACGAGGTCCGAATAATTTCTTTACTTGAATTACAGATCGATTTCTTCTGACTGTCGCAAACATAATATGCGTTGAATCGAAGTAGATGGATTGATTCTATTGTGACAACATTTATTTTATATTCAGACAACCTAATTTTTATCTTGGCTTTCTAGCATTTAAACTCAGATGATTGCACACAGATAGTATGTTTATATTTCCCGACCAAAATTAAGGTTAGTATTTGCTGCGGTACCTGATGCGACACCTAATTCAAGAGTTACAACATATACAGTATATCTTTAATGTTGTCGACTAGATCATATGACTTTATACTGATTGGTTCAGTCATCTATCATAAGAACTCTTTATCAACATAATTATGGTGTATAATTGAAATAAAATGAAACGATTCTCAAATAAGGTTTTATATTGTGTCTTTTAAAATATTATATTATGTGAAATAAAAAGCATATATTGGAATCTTTTATCGATCCTATAAAGTATATACAAAATACTGTACTTGCATTTATTTTCTATCTTGTGCGTTAATGGATAAGAAATGAATGTGGAAGTGTTATCGTTCAACTTCGAGGTCATCCTCAAGATTTAAACCATATGAAAAAAATTTAACAAATAAAAGAATATTATTCCAAAATTGGTCGTTTGTTCTATAGAATTTCTTATATAAATGTGTCGTGAACGTACGATGAAAATAAGGAATAACGAAAGTGGATAATATTTACTATCTGAGAAATAATATCAAAACATACAATCTTATATTTTTAACAATGAAATTCAACACCTTTCTCGCTCTTATCATTTTCGCAATTTTCTGCCTAGTTGCTAACGTATATGAAGGTAATAAATTATTTTTTAAAAACAAAAAAAAGTTCACCATTTATAGTTCACGGTACCAATATCTACCATTCTTATTTTGTTTTAATTTACATTATGTATAGTAAATGCATCAACGATCAAACTCAAATCTACTTTCTCGCAGAGTTCAAATGGAAGAGCAGATATATATGAGTGTGACAGTAGTAATGAACCATGGTCAGATAGCCATCTATATTTTTACAGCAATCAATCCGAATGTTTAATGTTTAGCACTTCAGTGTCACTTTCCACATATTGTTTTCATCTCCGTGTTGATAAAGCTGATCAATGGATAGACAATGTTGACAATAGTCAAGACACATGTTACGAACTTGATGGATCCGAATATACCTGGACATTAAGCTCAATAGATTGTGGACAAATTCCTTCGGACATAGTAAATTGTGATAAATAATCGTTTTTTATCTGTTTTTTTTAATAGAAACTATTTATTTTACAAATGTCAATTTTAATTTAATTCGAAAAAAAATAATTTATATTTCAAACATTTATAATTCTTAATCCTTTGTTATTATCCATTTTAAGCATACGTGAGAATTTTAAATTATTATAGAAAAAACAACAACTAAAAAAAGATAGTTGATAACCGAATAACAAAATGACTGATATTTATGATGCTTTGCTACAGATAAATTTTATTGTTGGATGACAAACAGATAAAAATAATTAATGAGAAAAAAAAATTTTTTTATTTAGATATTTAAATTCTTAATTTATTATTCTCAACATATATTTATTGATGAGATCTTAAATGTTTATGCTTTTGAAAAAAAATAAAAAAATAAATATATATAATTATAAATGATATTTTGACAAGTAGTTTTTTTTTCAAGAAAAATAAAGAAATACAAACTTTGCAAAAAGATTTTAGAATGTTCAATAAAAAAAGATACTAGTCAAAAAATTTTTGCTTAAAATATAAAGAAATATAAAATTATTTATAAGAAATTAAAGTTCTATTTAAAAAATATAAATATTTTCAAAATCAAAAAAATAAATTCTTACAATATAATATTATAATATTATAATAAATTTTCAAAAAAAAACAAGTTACTTAACAAATTCTTTTCTCTTGTAACAATTATTTTAACAAACTTTTTAATGATTTTCAATTATCAAGGTTTTAAAAAAAACAATTGAAAATCCTTTTATTAAAAAACATATTAAATATAAAACAATTAACAATAAATAATAGAAAATTATATTCTAACAACTAATTATATAATAATTAGTTAATGTCATTATTAAATATTTTAAAAAATTTTAAATCTAAAACCTTTTATTTTAAATTAAGTTTAAAGTTAAAAATATACATTAATAAAAACAATGTATCAAATAATATTTTTAATGATATTGTTGCTGAATTTTCTTTTTCAAAATTGATAAGATTTTTGGAGATCTTTCAAATAAAAATCAAAAGATTCTTATTAATCTTTGCAAATACGAATAAATTTAAACTTATTTAAATTAGAATTACTGTATATCAAGAATTATTTTAACATCTTAATATCAATAACTGATTAATTTATTAAAAATATTTGACAGTTATTCTTTCATTAAAAAAATAATATAGTTTCATAAGTTTACAGATATTCAACCTATATTTCCAATTAAAATCAACCGAAAAATTTTTAACAATATATTACCAAATATGATTGGTTTTAATAATCTTTTCTCAAAAAACCTTTTTATTAGTTTAAAAATTTGATGATCGCACAGAGAATCCTCTGGTTTCGAATTCATTGGCAATTTATTTAAGATTATTATGGTAAGGTTTCTAGAACCTATTTGAATTCGGTAACGACATTCTGTCATAATTAACGTCATGGGAATTCAGATCTTTCCAATTTCTTCAGCGACAGTGTTGATCTTTCTATTACGAGTTTTTTAGTGATTAATCATACACAACAAGTGTATACTGTATTTTCGGGGAACATCTTCGCAACGACGAAAAAACATTTAGAGACGATTAAAACATAAAGAAAGGTTTTCTGAAACGTTAAATGGATGCATCTATTTAAAGAAATTATTTGTATGGGACGCACAGATATTTCATCACAAGCGATACCTTAAAATACGTAATAAAATTTATTCTTTCTATAAACGTATACAATAAATGGTTAACTAATACTGTTAAGGTCTTATCGCGGCGACACGGAGCTCAGCGTTTTAGATCTTGCGTAACTATCTGACGGGGTAAAGGTGAGTATTGCGAGGGTTGGGTAAGGTAGAAGGGGCGTGGACTGGTGAGTTTATGGGGTTTGGAACAATTACTTGGAAGGTAGGTATTTTGCAATATCTTTATTTGAGAGTCTAAAAAAAACCTTGTTGCATACACGCGCGATCGTTATATGCTTATAAATCGCAATATAAGAAATCATATACAGTAATACTCATTTTGCCGATTCATACAGTAAATCATTTACCATCACGAGACCCGAATAATTTCTTTACTTGAATTACAGATCGATTTCTTCCGACTGTCGCAAACATAATATGCGTTGAATCGAAAATCAGATGGATTGATTCTGTTGTGACAATATTTATTTTATATCATATAACCCAATTTTTATCTTGACTTTCTAGCATTTAAACTCAGATGATTGCACACAGATAGCATGTTTATATTCCCGACCAAAATTAAGGTTAGTATTTGCTGCGGTACCTAATGCGACACCTTATTCAAGAGTTACAATGTACTGTATATACAGTATTGATTAATTCAGTCATCTATCATAAGAAACGAAACGATTCTCAAATAAGGTTTTATATTGTGTCAACCTTATATAAAAATAATTGTTTCTCTACTAATTTAAACAGGTTAGGCTATTTTCACAAACACCATATAAAAATATTTTTTGTTTAATAGGTTAGGCATTACCGGGATTGCCATTGTATGAAATTAAGATTTTAAAAACAAAAGCATATATTGGAATCTTTTATCGATCCTATAAAGTACATACAAAATACTTGTATTTTTTTCTCTATCTTGTGCGTTAATGGATAAGAAATGAATGTGAAAATGTTATTGTTCAGCTTCGAGGTCATCCCCAAGATTCAAACCATATGAAATAAATTTAACAAATGAAAGAATATTATTCCAAAATTGGACGTTTGTTCTATAGAATTTCTTATATAAATGTGTCGTGAACGTACGATGAAAAATAAGGAATAACGAAATTTAACTTCAGATCTGAGAAATTAATATCGAAACATACAACCTTATATTTTTAATAATGAAATTCAACACCTTTCTCGCTCTTATAATTTTCACAATTTTCTGCCTAGTTGCTAACGTATATGAAGGTAATTAATTATTTTTTCAACATTAGTAGTTTTAGTTCATGGTACCAATATTCATTATTTTTATTTTATGTTTTAATTACATTATGTATAGTAAATGCATCGACTATTAAACTCAAATCTACTTTCTGGGCGCATGCGATTGATGGGAGAGCAGAAATATATGATTGTCACAATTATAATACTGTATGGGAAAATGAATATCTATATCTTGCCAGCAATCAATCCGAATGTCTAGTGTTTAGCACTTCAGTGTCACTTTCCACATATTGTTTTCATCTTCATATTTATAAAAATGATCAATGGGAAGAAAATATTGATAATAGTCAAGACACATGTTACGAAGTTGATGGATCTGAATCTAACTGGTCATTAAAATCAATAGATTGTGGACAAATTCCTTCAAACATAGTAAATTGTGATACATAATCATTTTTTTGCTGTAATTTTTTTTAGAAACTCTATTATCATATAAAGTTAGTTTTAATTTAATTCAGATAAAGATAATTTATGTTTCAAACATTTGAAATTATTACACTCCTCTCTTTGCGATGTTTTAGTTTAAGACGCTTTTTTATAGATGAGGTCTTATGCACATGTATAACTTCTGATCCCGAGCTTATTTGAGTTAGAAATGTCAGAGTCTGAATTATGACTGGTGGAATAGTTCTTGTTTCTTTTTATTGTGGAATAATGTGTTTTTTTAGTTTCCAAAGATGCCTCACTAATGCACACATTAATATACTATATATTATTTTTTTTCTACATTTTATTTAATTTTTCTTTCTCGAAGCATATACTTGCAATGAGGGCGAAGTTTAGACTTATAGCATGGTTCTTTGTTTCCTTGACTCCGGCTTCTGATTCTATTACTTATTCATCCTTCTGCAAAAATTCCTAATAAAGATCAGTTTTATGATTACAAAATCATTATAAACATCCTTAAATTCTGATTCTTTACTTTATGTAAGTTTAACATTTTTAGTAATGTTACTGTTACTGGTGAGTCCAGAATTAGATTAAGTTTCTTGGTAAAAAAATTTTTATTAAGTTAATCGTTTTTAAATATAATCATCTAGTTGCAACTAAAAATCTTAAATTTTGATTAGTTAATATTTAACTTTTCTACTAAGGATTTGAAATAGTAAAATAGGCACACTTTATATTAGTAAATCAGGTTCATGTTGCTTGCAATATCAAAGGTGATTATGGGATAATAATTCTTTAACTTTTTTTTTTCAACTCATCTTCATTTTTCCATTTTTTACTTTATTGGCTTTTATTGAATTTTCTAGAATAACAAATATTTATTAAAATAAATTTTGCCTTGTTTATATAGTGACTGTTATAGTTAATACAATAAAAAAATTTTTTTAATTAAATTATATTTTATCAATTTCAAATATATTGGTTTTTTATTTTATAATATTGCTTTTATAAATAAAAAAAATTTTTTTTAATAAACAAAATTTTTATAAGTATTAATTTTATTTTAATTTTTTTTTGTAGATAAATATAGTTTCTTTATTTAATTTGTATTATATCAAAACATACATTATAAAAAAAACAATATCTCATATATGATAATACATTAAGTTAAATGTTGGATTGTTTACAGTAACATTTGACTAATACTAAAAAAAAATTATAACAGTTTAATAATTTGTCATATATATAAAATTAATTAATAATTATTGTTTAATTGAAGAATTTAATCAGCTTTCTTGAAGATCTCAAAGTATTTAAGATATTTTAGATATTTTAAATACAAAGCTTTTATTTTGGACACAAGATATTTGAATATTGATTGGAATTAAGATTTTGATTAATACTATTCAATATGATATTTTGTAAAATTAATATTGATACTTTTTTCAATATTGGTATTGATAATTAACAAAAATTTTTGATATAATACTTTAAAGTATTAATATTGTATCAAAATATTAAAAGTATTAATACTAATAAAAATATTGTATAGTTTTAATTAATAGTATTTTATATATCATATATAATTAACTATAATATTCTGAATACTATTTTAAAATCATTAAATTTATTAAATAATATTTATTCTAAAATTATAATAAT